GGCTCCTACGCACACGCGTACTTTTGGGCGTGTTTGTTTTATGCAATTTAAGTCTTTTATTATTCCTCGAGAGCCAAATCGAGAGAGAGAGAGAGAGAGAGAGAGAGAGAGAAAATCTCTTTAACGGATTTCGGGCGCCCACCCCAGCAGCCTCGGTAGCTTCTTAAATCACGCGCCTATAGCGATATTATGGGCAGTTTATAGAAGTCAACTTTCCCATGCTACTGGGCTGGTAATGGTGGTGGTGGTGCGCGCGAGCGCTCGAGGAATTAGGGACCCCCGGCCCGGCGCGACAATGACGGGGCAGATCCTGTACAAATGACTTTGCTGTTATGTTATAGTTGTGATATGATATATTTATGTGCGACCCGATCGAGCGAGTCACTGGTCTCATTAATACGACGGAATTTATTGGATTATTGTTCCAAGTATACAACGTTAAATATTCTACTATAAACTCACTGCAATAATTGCTATAGTGTATAGTAAAAATTTCTCTGTAGTAAATTTTATTTAAGAGTAACATATTATATGGTAATAAACATAATACGAAATAATATGATCATAGCAAATGTTGCTGTTACAAGCACGAAAAAGTACATTTTGTTTAGCAAAATTTGCTACCCACTATAGTATATTTTCCTGTGTGAGCTAGGACGAAAGCGCGACGAGCACGCAAAAGTACCAAGTCGTTTTTGACTAAAGTAAATCACTGCTCGCTATGGTGAGAAACTTTCCTGACTTTCTCGATTTCAAGTTTCTTGATAATTTACTTGAAGCTCATGAGTTTTCAAATTTTAATTTAATTGTTTATAAGTTTCATATTTTACGTCTCCGTATTTCACTGCAATGAACTTCCAATATCATGGCTAGATGTCGCTTTGCATACCCGCAAGCCCTTCTGCAAGTTTTCTATATATAAGTGTGCATTACTTGTAATGTTAGGTTTGTTAGCGTGTCATAAGTATTGATACGACACAAGTCCCGAAAAGAATAAATTACAAAATTATCATCCGAAACATGCGGCTACAAATCTCCAATTAGATCAAATCAATCAACTAATTTGAAAAAATTTTTCTACACAATTTCACATACCCTCGGAAAATGTATTAGTTTATTTCAATAAAAACTAATCTGTATAAGAAAAGTTGCTATTGAAACAAGAAATATTTCTACTCATAATATAAAAATTACTGTAATAAATAGGAAATTTTGATAGAATTCAGATAGAATTTTAAACGATTATGATAGAAAAAGTTTTTTCTATATTAAATAGTAAACATTACTAAAATGTGCCGATGTCACCTCCTTACTAGATATTATTACTATGAATTCTAACAATATTTGTTATATTTTTTCCTCCGTGTACATACGCAATTGTCAAATTTTACAGTTGCGGATTAAACAAGCTGTTTAGGTCGTGTCCGACCAGCAATTCGCACGTTCCATCATTAAGGACAACACACGAAACAGCCCTGCACGATGGCGAGGCATCGAGTGGCTCTGCGTATACATAATATCGAGAGCCGGGCGCGCGCGTGCATTAATGCACAGGCACGCTCGTCTCGACTGCTGCTGTTTATTCGCGATCACACGTATATACATACATATATAGGCACGTGGACCTACCCAAGCACAAGCGATGTAGGTACTAGAGAGACGAGAGAGAAAAAAAAGGAAGCATGAAAAGGACTCACGCTTTAATGGGCCCTGCCCTTTCATAATTCATATATGTATAATATATAATACGAATTTGATCGTCGACGTCGTTGTGTGTACTGCCACTGGTGTTGCTATTTTTCAATTCCGTCGCGCGTGTACTGCGTATATAAGAGGGTACTATACGGAGCGCCGCGCGACAGCTCCTCGAGATCTGCAGCGGGGCCATAAGGCCACCGCATTGGCTCATTGAGAACAAAAAAAAGCAGCAGCAGCAACAACGACTCACCGGCGCACCTATGTATCGTTATTGTTATTATTGTAATAATATTTTAAAACGTCTATATGCCGAGCGCACTCGAGCGCCGATATATAATATAATAAGTGCATTATATGCAGCGGTACACACGCGCCTATAGCCTGTTCATTTGCTTGCTTAAGTGTGTGTACCAATTATTATTACGTGTGTTTTCTCGAGTGCCTTTCGGTCGTGTGTTGCTCGGCTATTGTGCGCGCGATCGAGTGCATACGTGTGTGCATAGTTATTCGGTCACTATATACTTCTTTCTTTGGATAGTATAAGAAAATTAGCAGGAAAACGCCGAATCAATTTACAGGAAATTCGCGTGTACAACAGACCAATATATAAGTAATATATCGAGCTATGGGGGATACTCTCGGGGGTGCAGAGATTCCCACTGCGATCGAAAGGCTGCGGATCGTTGTCTCTTACGTTACAGTATACAAAACTCGATACACACATGCACGAGAGTCAGTGGACACGTCATGAGCGCGTTTAAATACGCATAAAAGAGAGAGAGAGATACATCGACTCGTGACCGCATCCAAGTTTGGTGAACTGTGCGGTTCATCTTTATATTACATTATGTTACAGTTACGTAATGATCTCGCCACGCATAAATAGGAAATGTACGACGTATATATACTTATTATACGCGTGCGGTCGATTAGCTCACATCCGAGAGAGCACGAACGAAGAGAGCGACTTTTAATGGACTCGAGCGTCGTCGCCCCATCGTCGATATTTAATGCACATTATATATACGCATACGCTCGACCTTTTCCCAGCCCTGCGCCGAACTTGGCCCGAAATTTTCGCGCGCGGGACACGCACACACATCTTCCTCGTTCGCATTGTTCGGAGGCGCGAGAGCGTAAGTTTGTACAAAGTCGAGAGCTTGGGAATTATATATAACATCGAAGAAAGATGAAGAAGAAGCGCGCGTGTGCGCGGGTGAGCACCGCAAATTAGCCGATAAGCTCGCGCGCGCGCGTATTGGTATCAATGAGTGCACAACACAGCCACGTGCAGTTATATCCTCGAATCTAATAGCAGATTTGAGAATTTAATCGGACGTGTACGCACTTATGTTAGACGCGCGCGCGCGCGCGTTTCTGTCGGGATACAGTGGAAATCGTGCGACTCGAGTTGAATTTTTTTTCTGCATTTTTCAAATTACAAGATATGGTCAACCATCCAGTGAAGAGTCAAGTGCACTCTATTATTTAATTAATATTATTTGAAAACGTATTTTACCAGTAAATGAATGATGCTGAACCAGTAAATGAACGTGTGATATTGTCATTTTATAATTGTATATTATGTAACCATCCATATGAAATAACCGGGTCACATTGAAGAATTTATATTAAGTAGTTTACTTTGAGTAGTTTAACTCATTAATGATTGTAAAAATCTTCCAGGAGTAATCGATTCTTGACGATTAGACTCGATGAATTCATAACCTCTGCAACGAAGATATCTTAGGATGTCTATTAAATAACTGAGTAAAATATTGATTATGCCTATTTTACCCAGTGATTGAATGATTTTATGCACTAGCGTATAATATAAATAGATTTACTAATAAAAAAATGGTTTTAATTAAAATTAAACTGTTGTTGTTAAAAGTGCTGTTACCCAAGAAAAGATGAGTGGTTGTTAAAAAAAATATTAACAAAATATTCATTATTTGATTAATTTAATGTACTAGCCATTCATTTACTGGTGATCGTTCATTCCGTTGACCTGTGGGCGACGTTGATATTTTTTTTCAAAACTGTCGTCGACTTATACAATTATTTGTACTTAACTACTTTCAGATTTACAGATCAAAGTACTCGCCATCTACCGGTCGAGAGTTAAAGTGATATTATTATACTCAAATTCGTCTCAATTTTTCGAAAAAATCAAATTTTCGTAAAATATTATCACAATATTCATTATTTAATTAATTTAATGTACTAGTCATTCATTTACTGGTGGTCGTTCATTCACTTGTCAGTTGATCCTATTTCACTGGAAATTTAATTCTTTTTTCGAATTATGGAATAAAAAAAACTTTTGATATATATTAAATAAAGCTCTAAAAGTATTTTTAACATGTTGTACTGTTGCAAATAGTCTTCTTTGAGGCGTTGGTTAGTAACTTCTTCCTTATGAAGCGAAATGTCAAATGGTACCTAATTTCTTTCTAGATGGCGCACGCCCGAATCCACGAAAATCATAAGAGAAAAGACAAAGTTTTAGAAATAAAGCAAATTGTCGTCGTCAAATGAATTTGATGTTTTTTGATTTGTATTGTGGAAATATAAACTCTTCCCCGTGAAAAAATTATCGATGCATTGTGCTTACACTTTCCTGAACATGACGGCGCTTTCAAGATCGTCTTCTTATTTTAATATCTTAACTTAACATTGAAAAGATAAATTTATGGCATTTATTTAAATTCAATCGATCGATTGGAGCACTTTCGTTTCTATAATATAATCAGACCTCGCTAAAAAAATTATTATTTCACGATCTTTTATCGCAATAAATAAAATGATCAATCAAAACTTTGTCTTATAATTTCTTCATAATTTATACGTGAATTTTTACTTTAATTTCACGACGATAACGCGCTTTTCAGCCTCGTTTGTGTGTGAATATGCATCGATCGAGTGACGGAGAGAGAGCAAAAAAGTGTAAACTTGCGTGCCCTTATTATCGATTCGTTCTAGAAATTTTTTCCAGGTTAAATTTGATCAAATTGCGTCCGTGCCGCGCTGCGAAAATGATTTTCACGACAGATAAAAATTACGCTTTATAGGACACGTTTTGATACGAGTGGCTCTTGTATATTATGTACGGGGTGGGTGGAGGCATATTAAAAACTTTTTCGCTTCCAACCTACCGCCAACAGTATGGCCTCGAAGCTTTGCTCGGAATGTACGCGCGAGCGTCTCGTGTCGTTGCTAAAGTTTAAATTGTGGAATATCATTTATTCGAGTCGTATAACTAATCGAAAAGTGCGGTGCTAACACGAGTTGTGTCGTAAATGAGGAAAAAACAAATGAAAATCTGCTTGGTGATAGTAATTCTGTTCATTCGGAGCGAGTCCGAAGCTGGTAAGCGAATGATTTTCTCGTACATCTCGTACTTACGAATTATAAATTGGATACACGATTTCAAGCCGCCACCGCCACCACTACCACCCCCGCAGCCACAGTCGCTCGCGACAAGAGAATAATCGGCGGCGTCGAGGCGGCCGACTCTTGGCATCCGTATCAGGCCTACCTGAGGCGCAATGGCTGGTCGAACAAGTGGTTCCCCGGCTGGTTCGTCTCCTGGTACCCGACCTGGTTCGCCTCGGACTACTGCTGCGGCGCGTCCATCATCAGCGAGCGTTACCTGCTCACCGCGGCTCATTGCGTATCAGTGTGAGAGCCAAAAAAAAAAACATTTATTTCCTGCGCATTTCGCGAATAATAATCATCTCTCCATCATGGTGATCTTATTTTTCTCGTGTTCAGTAACGTCAACGTCGGCGACTTTGAGGTGGTCGTAGGCACCAACGAGATCGGCGATCCCTACGCCTGGATCTACGTCGCCGAGTACTTTGCCATTCACTCGGATTACGAGGTAAATGTACTTTTATAACAACCCCTAATTGTCGAGCCCATGAACGATCGGCTTTTGTGATATAATCGTGTGATATATCCCCCCCTGCAGCGAGGCGGCCTGCCCGAAAACGACATCGCGGTGATTCGGGTCCAGGGCAGCATACAGTTCAACGACAGGGTGCAGCCGATCAGATTGCCACCCGCGGACTACGAGATCCCGGACGAGAGTCTGGTGACGGTGACGGGTTGGGGCTCCCTTCAGGTATTTTGCTGCATCGACTTTTTCCTTTTGCCAAATGCATGATTTCTAGTTAGCTTGTTTTTGTTCAAAAAGATAACAATCAAACTGTTTCGAAAAATGTAGACCAGTTTCCCACCACTTTAAGCTTCCACCGCTAGATGGCGAATACCTTGATTTTTGTAAATCTGCAAGTGGTTGAGTCAAAATAATTGTATAAGTAAGGCTGTTTTAGAGGAATTTCGCAGGGTTATAGCTCAGCATTTCTTTGCGCAGATAGAGGGTGGCATCAAGCCGAGCCGCCTGCAAATGGCTCGAATGAAGGTCCAGAATCACGAGAAGTGCACCGACATCTGGGACAGCGCCTACAACGAGTTCCTCGCCAATCCTTACAACATGGTGTCCGTGATCAAGGACGGCATGATCTGCCTCGAGCGCACCACCGCCGAGCAAATGTGCGACGTAAGCTCTAAAATTCGAAACAAAAAAAAAATTATTTTAAAATACGGTAACCGCGAGGATATAGCGAGTATTTTTTTTCGCGCCCACACACAGGGTGACTCGGGCAGTCCGGTGGTCGACGAAGACGGCTATCAGATCGGGATCATAACTTTCGGCGGCGAGTGCGGACCGTACAACGATCTGCCGGACGTCGCCATGAGGATCACGCACTACGTCGACTGGATTATGGCCAGCATGCAGATCCTCGAGTTCGCCCAAGTTTTTACCGGATAGAGAAAAAAGTCGTTCGATGCCAATCAAATGTCAGCAATAAAATCGTTCGATCGATCAAAAAACGTTGTGTTTTTTACCTACCCTGCTCGCTGTCGTTCCGCATAAATATGCCTTTTTCATACACGATTGACTGGTGCATAAATAAATTTAAATGGCAAAACGCGATAATAGACCGATAAAGCATCTGAAAGTTTTGAAGTGAATTCATTTGCTTCCACGTATACAAGATACATAGATTACATTATAAAACGCGTGTTGCAATAAAAAAGGCGCAATTTTAAAGGGAAAAAACGTTTCCCACAATCAGGAGTGCCACGATTTTGAAAAATGATTTCAGCGCTCATTTGAACGAGCCTAGTTACACACGTACATACATACATTGAACAGGAGAAACGACGTGCGCGCGTGTGCGGAGATTTGATGGGTTAATAAATAAGAAACCGAACACGGACCCGAGCCGAGTGCGCCAAAGCCAACCCTTTTCAACGCTTTAAAGTCTTTGAAAGTGTATTATGTATAAAAAGGGTTCTCTTTCTCTCTCTCTCTCTCTCTCTCTCTGCGCCTTCGCAGTCCTATAGACACACACGCGGACGGTGTGAAATGCTTCGATAGGATATTTCACGGTGGGCGATGTCGACATTATGTTTTTCTTTGCTATATAATAGTGCCACGACGGCGGCGGCTGCCGACCCCTGGTATAGGATATGTGTGCATGCTCATTTTAACGAGCTTTAAATCAATCTCTGCCCGTGTATCGCACCCACCCGACGAGAGTCCGTGTATATATACAGCAGAGAGAGAGAATATAGTTACATAAAGATGTTTTGAAACGACATTTGAAAGGATTTTTCATTGGAACTTGAGGTTTCGATTTACCCGGGCGGTGCAATTTATTCAGCGCCGCGCGTCGCGCCGCTAAGTGTCGAAAATCACACGGGATAAATTGGATGTAGCTTATGTGCTCTTGATAGATGTCTAGTTGGCTGTCTAATCGAATGAATTCGGAGGATTATTGATCTACGATTTAGTAATTTTTCGAATTATGCGGTCGATCGAAGAATGGTATCTAATTTCTCTCTAGATGGCGCACGCCCGAAACCCCGAAAAGTCACAAGAGAAAAGGCAAAGTTTTAAAAATAAAGTGCCAACAAGAGAAAAGGCAAAGTTTTAGAAATAAAGTGCCAACGTCGTATTTGTTACTCACTCGCGAGTTTGCTTTAAAAAGCTGTATAATTGAAAATGGCCGTATCGATCAGCTACCAACGATATAATAAAGAGTTTACGGGACAGAACGACTAGTGCTGCAGCCCAGCCGATAACAATTATTACTTATTGTGCACATACAGCACGATATATCATCGGGCGTTCTACAGCGCCAAAAAAAAAAAAAACAAATATACATAAGAGTCGCGTATTGTACAGTCGAGCCTTGAAATGTGCAGCAGTCAGCCAGCCCGTACTGGGCATGCCCATCAAGCACGACACTGCATATATGCGTATATATATACCGACAGGCGCGTGTCAAAGTGCACATCTCGCGCGCATTCTCATGAGTATCGTGATACACATGCACGTACACTATAAGCAAGGGCACACACACACATACATCTACGACGCGTTCGCACTGCCCATTGAAATAAATGCTAACAGCTGGGGGCGTGCATACATTTGTATCTAGAGGTCCTCGTCGTTTACGTCGACAGGAGAGCTCGAGACGTTGCAGACGCGCACACGCCTCGTCGCATATACAACTCGTCGAATTACAAGTAGCAGCAGTACACACATGTGCATCGGTGCTGATCTCTACGTACGGACGTGCGAACTTTGGCAGAATCGTGTGCGAGCTGCTATATAGCTCGTGACTCGTGACTGCCGACGTAATCCAATACTTCGCCTTCGCGACGAGGATGATTTTTCTTTTTTTTTTCGCGAAACACGTACACCTGTATCACATACAACCGTACACTTGCGCGAGCTTAGATGACGATAGGAGTAAGACGTGATTTTGTACAAGAGAGCATCTCGTCTTACCGCGAGTATAATCGTGTACTTATATGCTAATGGCTAATTCCGCTCTTCTGCGTATGTAACGTAATAATTATCCTCGGCGCACACGTATATATACAACTCAATCGACGAGTGATATCCCCAATCGAGTATATATACATCCATCCATCATCGATCGCGCGTCGCGCGAAGATCGCCCAAAATTTGCAATTCGATTTTCTACAAATTATTACGAGTAAAATTTCTTCGTCCGCGTAAGAAAGTGTGTGCGAACCGTTCGAAGCTCTCGTACTCGAAAAAACATCCGAGTCATCCGAGAGGCTCTTCTCGAAGAGACATCGTCCTTATATTATAGTTATATAGCGCAGCGAGGAGCTGTTTTTCGTCTCTCCCGATTGAGATACATCGATCATCCTACATAGAAGTACGCACGTTAACGCCAACGAGCAGCCTATTGAAGAATTTCTCGCGCGCGCGCGCGCGTCCCTCTTTTAAACGTCAGACTGTATAATACAGCGGAGAGAAGAAGCAACAACAACAACAACGAGGACGACGACGACTCCCCCGTTTTATATAATGCACACGCACGAGCTAGAGAGAGCTGTGCATTACTCGCAGATCGAGTGTGTCCGCATTGTCATTATACAACCCCTTAGCGTTTATAGCTGCCCCCCTTATACTATATAGCTATTTGGCAGCTCTCGCTTTTTTTCACTGCTGCTGCTGCTGCTGCTGCTGCGCGTCGAGTTGTCGAACTCGTCCTTATGTATACACGCACACTTACCTGCATAGCGCCTCGGCTATTATAGTCATCGTGTGTGCGCTTATACGCGTGTATTATTATATAAACGCACTCGACGCATTGTGCGTTTACGCGAGGCCTCGATTGTTTTCGATACGTTTTTCTCCGCGTGTATACACGCGTACTTACGATCACTTTTTTTTCTGCCTTTCCTCGACGCAAGTATATAACGATGCTACGCGCGTGGGCTGGGCTCTCTCTCTCTGCTCCAAGTTATTGTTACGTAGACGTATCGGCAGCAATTTCGATGCTGCACCGTAGGTATTATTATAGGCCCATCTCTCCACACAATTTCTGTAAATACACCCGTAATTCGTCGCTTTTCTGGGCAAACACTCCAACATTTTCCTTCGTTTGAAATTCGTCGAATAAGTGTAAAATGTACACACAAAAGTCTGAAATAAAGTACCTTCGGTTATACGTCCGAAATTATTCGCCAGTGCCTTCGACATAAGCGGCTAATCTGGCCAGGCTTATCTCTCTCGACTCCGCGCGCGAGTTATCGCGCTTGGTTATATACGCATCAACGCCAACCACCCTCGCCGGCAGCTCTCTTTCTCTCTCTCTCTCTCTCTCTCTCTCCATCGCGCGTTATCCCTCGATGAAAAAAAAAAAACAAACAAGGAACGAAAAAAAGAAATTTAAAATAAAAGAAGAAGACAGAGAGAAAAATAAGAGATGAGAAAGAGAGAAAAATTTGCATAAGGATCGGCTTACCTTCTCGCATTCGTCGTAATAGCGTTTCCACGAACTAATCTGCTGCTCTGCTCTGCTCGCGCTCACGAAAGAGAAAGAGAGAGAGAGAGAGAGAAAAGTGGGACGTTGTATGCATCGGGTGCTGGCGCAGAGTGCAGCTCACCTGCTCCTTCTTCTCTTGTTCGCTTCTCTTTACTTCTCAGGCGTGCGCAGCACACGGGCAGCTAACGTTTTCGATCGTAGCTATATATGTAACGCACCGAGCTCCGAAGAAAAAGCCAAATCCGAATCGAGTAAGTTATTCTAGCATCTACCAACTATTATCTTCGATCGCGAAAGACGAAAGGAAAGCGAGTTTAATTTGGCCCCGAAAGCGCAACACTCGTAAAGGACAATTACGTACACACAGCTGCGTGTGTTTATATGCTTTTTTGGCAATCCGACAGAAGACAGAAAACATAAATATGGATACACAGATCATCGCTCGTAAAACCCAACTCAACGGATCTCTCAGCGAAGAAGAGAAAAATGAATCAACGTCCCATAAATTATATATCGAGTAGTATATCGAGTATAAAAATAACGCGAGAATGCGCATTTTTACACGCGGCCATGCGGTTGAAATCTCGACATCTTGACGTTCTTCGCTCGATCGACGGATGAAAGTCTCGCGCTGGGTCGGATATAAACTCTCGATATAGTTTTATTTATCTTTTTTTTTTTTTTTTTTGGTTAGTCAGGGCCAGTAACAGCAACGCCAATCCCACAGCGTCGGACGTTTCTCTCTGTATCGAGGGGTATACTATAAGCTTTATACCGCCTCGATAAAGCTCTAGATGTTTCGAAGGGAGGTATACTACTCTATAGTGGTAGAAACGGCGCTGCTGCTGAGCGACGGCGCGAAGAAACTCGCGTGAGAGGCAAGACGCCGTTGCAGTATATATACGCTGCTAAGCTAAACGACTCGCCTACTACTACTACAAGTAGAAGTCGCCGGAAATTACCTCCACGGCTTCCATCTCCGGCTGTTGAGCTGCTGCTGCTGCTGCTGCTGCTGCTATGCTACGTCGAGTCGAGTCGAGTCGCGCGAGACTACATTAAAGTTTCAGTTCCCGAAGCTGCTGCTGCTGTTGCTCTCGACGATGATGCGCGTTTGTATATAATAACTAAGCTCGAGTCTCTCTCTCTGTCTCTCTGCGCATCAGAAGCAGCAGCTGTATACTATTCGTTTGAGCAAAATGCAATTGCGAGTCTCGGAGTCCCGCTGCACACACGCTATATTTATTCGTACCGGATTATACATAACGCGGGGCAAGACAAAGGGGGTTGCAGTACGTCGTCGCCCACGCGATCCCATCGATCGTCGTCGTCGTCGTCATCGTACAGCGAGTTTATACTCGTTGTTCGACAAACTAATTTCCAGAATTCCAAGATGAACGCGTCGCCCACGAGGATCGTCGGCTCATTGTGTCGGCTTTTAACGCTGCGTTTAGTA